TGTTGTCATAAAGTGGATTCTCCGCTATCAGTTCCCAGTCAACGTTATCCACGTAATGAGGGGGGGGTCTCAGTTTACGGCCCCTGAGACAAACATCTAATCAGCCGCACACAGCCGAAGGGGGCTCGGGGAGGAAGATGGTCGCGGCAGGCTTTCATTAGTCTGAATTTAGCCTTCGTATCTCAGCGGTGCTAATTATGCCTTGTTGCTTTCTGCTCCTCTCGTCTGCTGCCTCTCCACCTTCCCTCCCCATCCGCCCTCCACCTATTCAGCCCGCAATAGTCACCATCGCTCTTCTGCAGCTGATTCGCTCAGTTTCCCCCTTTTTTTGGTTAATACATGCGCTGAAGAGCAGTGGCGGTCGTCCCTCTCCCAGGTACGGCCGGCTGTGACACATTAATCATATGAATATGAGACAAATCAAAGACTGATGATGATGATGATGAAGTCAAAGTGCCCCCGTCTGTGTGGGCCTCCTGACCAGCATCTTCTCAAAGCAGCGTTGAGCGACAGTTTGGATTTTTCCCAAAGGTCCAGCTCTCCGCTCAGCGACATTGGCAGGAAATGTTCTGCTGTGGACGACGGCATCGCAACATCTACCTGCGCAGCAGCAACCGCGTTGTTGACGATTGTTGCTTCTACTTAATATTTATAGAATTAAAAAAAACAAAAAACAAATCATCGGTAATGTGGCTCAGGCAACTGAGTGGATATAAAGAGGCATAATTCATTTTTTTTTGTTTCTAGCGCGCTCTCTGTGAGACTGAAGCGTTGTTGCCATGGCGCCCCGGCAATCCATAAGTGGCACGCCAGGGAAGAGAATGAGGTCACCTTACAGATGGGCCGCCATCTGCTGGCTGCAAAGAACGCCATAGAATGCATCGATCCCGTACAGCAAACGCGGTGAGCGCTCCCAGAAGACGTCGACGTGTGGATTCAGCCGGCAGGTCTCTGTGGTCACCGACGGACGTCCTAGACGATTGCTCTTGTGCGTCTGCGTAGGGAATGTAAAAACGCGGAGATGACGACGACGGCGGCGGCGGTGTCACCTGTGGCTGCAGGCGAATGTGGCCTGGTGCTCCGGTTCGTCCACGGCCCGGTGGTACCTGGTGGTGCCCGGTGGTGCCCGGTGGTACCTGGTGGTACAAGTGAGCTATGAGAGCGAGAGGCAGGAGCCACTCATTGGTATTATCGAGAGACCGGATGTGAGGAACATGAGCAGACGGCTAAACTGATTAAGGCTGATCTGAAAGAACGATGCTAGAAGACATCATGGATGTCTCTGTCTCTCTGACGCACACACACACACACACGCTACTTAAAGCCAGTTGAAAATGATCGCTAAAGTGAATCACGGCACAGTGATTTGATGAGAGTTGAGCAGCATGAAGGGGCCCATGCTGGGCACTTAGAATGGGACCATATGGAGACGGGGGGGGTGGGAGGGGGGGGGGCTGAGGCTGTTTATGAGACACTCTCACCACGGCGACACCTGCTCCTCCTGGACATCAAATCATGCACAAGGAAGCATGAAGCGCGTCCAACGTGTGCGTTTAAAATAGCGAGCACTCGTGGCATTGGGTGTTTTTTTTTTTTTTCCTCGCAGTGGTTTAAATTGTTATTTTAATTGGAACGAAAAAATGCACCCCCCCCCCCCCCACCCTCCCCTCTATACCCCCACATCGCACCTTCCCCCTGTACATCGGCTCTTGGCTGGATGCTGCAGGGCTTCCTGGAGGGACACGCCGGGAGTCGTGACTGAAGATGAAAGGTACCCCGAGATGACACGTATAAAATGAGTTGCGCTACACCTGCAAAGGCTGATGATCTGGTTTTAATTGGAGGGGGGGTGTGGGGGGCGTCATTCTGGCACTTCCTTCGAGCGGCCCGGCTTGGTAGAACATACGCTTAGCTGTCTACCAGCTTGATGCCAAAATTCTGAGCAAAAGCTTTTAGCTGGGGGGAAAAAAAGGCCGCGTCCGTGACAATGAGGTAATGGGTAATGGATGAGAAAGGGGAAGAGATGAGAAAAGTTGGATCAAAGGAGAAGGCATCAGTGAGGAGAAATGAGAGGAGGGCGGGGGGGGAGGGGGTCCATAGTTAACATGCTTCTGAGAAACAGTAGGAGGTGAAGCTGTTGGTTTCCTCCGGTTTCAACGCTGAGGAGGTTCTACAGATATCGTCCTCTGCCTCAGACTGAGTGATTCATTCCAGAGACGCTCCACCGTCCCCGGTGACTGAGACGCTCTCGGCTGAATCATCGTGAGGCAACAGGTGAATGAATATGTAAACGCCACAGATTAGTACTGTGGAGAGGGCAGAAACATACATAAAACATGCCAGCATATCAACAGCTTCTTTCATGTAGCACTTAATCCCTGTTCGAAAGGCTTAAAGGTGTCATCGGTTGAGTCTTGAGCAGAGCGGGGTGAGGGGACAATTTGTCCTCGAGAACCCGCTTTATATGTTGAGAGTCCTTTTGTATTGGAGACATTCGACCGACATCATCTGTCTCCGTTAAAACTCCACAACACAGAAGTGCACCCAGAGAGCCGCCGAGTGCGATATTTCACCTTGAGTTATTCTCATCACACCCGGCGAGCGGCCTGCACAGGTGCAACCCAGGCAGAGCGAGGGGGAGGGAGGGAGGGAGGGAGGGAGGGGGCGTGAGACCTGACTTCCAATGTCCCTCCTGGGATGCTGCGAGGAGGCTTCACAGCCGCAGGCTTCGTAAAGAGCGTTTGACTCCCTTTAATTTAACACGTTTGTCTGGGGGGGGGGGGGGGTTCCAGTGGATTCGACAGGTTCGTAAGTCGCTTTATCTTCTGCGTGAGCTGACGAGGAAGGACGCACAGCTTTCTTCCGCACGTGATTTTGTAGCGCGTTTACATTTTGCATTGTGAGTCTCTTTTCTTTACGCCCATCTATTATCTACACGGTTGTTTTTCTTCTCAGCGGCCTTCCACTCCTCGCTGCTGCATTTTCCTGGCGTGCCCCCCCCCACCCCCCCCGGGGACCATTAAAGTTCCATTTCATCTTATCTCATGCAGGGTAACCAGACTCATTAAGTGAGTTGTGATCACAGTTGTGCGGCGCTACGATGAAGGTAACACTCTGCGGGGGCACATGACATGTAGCATGAGGAAAATCAGCCCTCCCCCTGGGGGGGGGGGGGGGGGACGCAGCTGCACGGCGAGGCCTCAGCTGCAACACAAGCTGACGCTCGAAAGCCCCTCGTTTCTCTTTAGCTGCCCTGTAAACGCCTGCGCGCACACACACACGCACACACACACACACACACGCACACACACACACACACACACGCACACACACACACACACACGCACACACATCTGGTTCAATCAAAGATCAGAGTTGCACCTGCTTTCCCTCAGAAGCAAAGCCTGGTGGGTTTGCACGCGTGTGCATTTTCCCCAGCGTGCTCCGGTAGTCTGAGGGGGCGTTGGGCCCGAAGGCGCTGCGTCTCTCCTGGACGCCGTCCCTGCTGAACGCCCACCGCCACTTTGCCCTCGTCGGGAAATGTGAAGGATGGACAGTTAAGTGGTGGTTTCAGCAGCAGCATCATTGTTACTGTGATAACGGCAGTCGTGCACTCAGAGTCCTCCGCCTGCCCGCGGCGGCACGGCGTGTTCAGGGTGTCAACACGAATCGGATTTCCCGGCCTCCGTTTTGAACGGAACACCCCGTCTCCGTGTACAATCAATTTGACTCGATTAAAGGGCCCCGTGGACCCGGGTGAACTTTGCAAAGATCAACTTGTCACAGGGACTCAGGAAACATCCCCGAGGGGGCCGGGGGGCCGGGGGGGGGGGGCAGCTGCTGCTCCACCGGCTCAGGTAAATGCCAGAAACCCCACTTGGAAATACACTGGCTGACACACACACACACACACACACACTGCTGCGTATTAAAGGAACACAAGCAGGCTTAGCTTTAATCACACTGTCAGCACAGAGGATACGCAACGAATGAATGTGTGCACTTTATGCAGATACACACACACACACGCAGACGCACACAGGGTAACCCAGATATTCAGATACAGCTCCTTTACTATAATTGTTGCTCCTGGAAATGGGATCTGAATAACTGTCGAGCGGGAGGAGCCTAATTACAGTATTTCTACTAAACGCGATTCTTTTATTACTCATCCGTTCATGCAAATGTCTCATTTTAAGTACGTAACAGCGTCTGGCTTCATCAAGAGATCATTTAATGAGCAGTGGAGCGACTCTTAAGTTCGTGCCACATATCGATCTTGTGCATCAACAGCTCTGCTCTTGTTGGGAGTAGTTCTTTATTTATTAGTGTGGACCAAAATAAACAACAGCATCATATTTCAGCTGCAGAGTCCATGTTGCGGTTTTTATGCAGAGCAGCGTTGTTCTTATTGCTCTGCAGTACCGGCGAGCACCACCAGGTGTCTGTAGAGTTAAAGGGATGTTCTCAAAGAAACAAGGATTGGACACCAAATGAAGACCTTCAAGGTGATCATCATCTCCCCCGTTCACTCTAAAACACACACACACACACACACACACACACACACACACACACGGTGAAAGCATCCGCAGGCTCCAATGGAGCATCATTGGTCACAGTGTCGCATGCAGAGAGAAGCCAGAGGACGCAGAGGGTCAATGAGGACAACATGATGCAGGATTAGATTAACAATGTTATAACTGATGCTCAATCAAGTTGTGTTTGTATACACGCAACACAGGCGCTTTTAATATTTAATCAGTAGTATATTTATATCCTCAGTTAGTTTCTACTCTGTGGCTGTTTGGGTTCGGAACTGTAACTGGAGGTGTCTCCGGGGGCCTCCTGGTGGGATCCCAGAGGCCCGACCTGTCGTATGTTGGTCACATTTCACTGGTGTAAATACATTTTTTTTTTATGTGCATCATCGTTCCCAGTGATTCTTTTTGTGTGTCCCCCCCGCTGTGAATAACACCGTCTTCCTCTGTGTCCGACAGCAAAGGGGAGGCGGCGGCGATCGAGACGGAGCTCCTGAGGGACTACCGGTTCGGACAGCAGCAGCTGATCGAGATCTGGGGGCAGGCGTGCGCCCTCGCCATCACCAAGGTAGGCGCCACTCCCCCCCCCCCACCCCGCCCCTCCGTTAGGGAGAGGGGGCCGGTGGTTGTTTCCTGTGGTGGGGATTTACCCACCCCCCGGCAAAAAAAAAGCCCGGCCCCGTTGCCCCACCCCACCTCTTCTCTCCGTGAAGTCCAACAGAAGTTTGGGGGTTTTTAAAAAAAAAAATATTTTTTCCAGTCTTAGTTAACCCAACATCTTTGTTTAACCTTATCAAATTAGTTTGTCGCCTTACGCAAATTTATAATTCTGATACATTCAACAGAAACATTCTTATTTATTTATTACAGATTTACTATTTGTTGTGAAATTAACTTTTTAATGTGATGTTTTGTGCTGCAGGCTTTTATCTGTTGTCCTTTAAACCAGCAGTTGCCATTTACTGTAATTGTGTGTGTGTGTGTATGTGTGTGTGTACACTCACCATTCTTTATTTTGTGTTTTCCATGAATTGAAGGGATTTATCTTCTCTGCAGCTGCGCTCTTTATTTGTATTGAAACATTACAACAAATAATCCGACTAAAAGGAGCCACGCAATTTCTTTTTGAATGAATGTTCTTTTCGGCGTCAAGTCCTCCGACCGACAACCTCAACCAACGCGATGCTGCGCATCGGCCTTCACAAAACAAGAACCCACGCTAAACCATCGAAGAGGGCAAAAGGTCACAGCTGCTGCTGCTCACACTTTCCTATTTCGCATTAACTTCCACTCCCGAGATGTCTGATTACCGCGTGGAGGAAACGCTCTAACGCTCTGTGACATTAAACCTCCGAGCGTTGGAAGCGGCTCACCTCTGGGCAGAGCACCCGGGCCCCCTCCGGGGCGGGGGCTCCTCTCCTCCGGGGTCTGGACTGTGTCGGGCCAACGGTGCGTGTGTGCGTGCGTGCGTGTGTGTGTGTGTGTGTGTGTCTCTCTCCAGCCAAACCAGGAGGAACAGACGTGCAGCATTCTAACACATGACGTACTTACGTTAAGACCAGCGATGGGGTGCTGAACCCAACAAACTAGTTTTACTGCTTAAACTTAAAGATAATTGAGGATGGAGGGTTGGAAATGCCAAAAGCTTTTAAAGAGCATGAATAGAAAAAAAATAAATAAATACAAACAACGTATCCGTGGTTCGCAGTAACTGAGCAGCTCAATGGGACAAAAGCATATTGTAATATTACTGTTTGTCTGCTGGGTGTGTAAATAAATAAGCAACATGTGCTTCACATATACTTTATAAGGTGGTAATGAGTCAATATTGTATTTGCAGCTTTTACAAACAAAGGAACCGTTAATGCCGGTTTCACCACGGTGTGATTTTAGTCATCATTGCATTCATGCCTGCTGTTGATTTTATGCATCTATCGTGTTTCGATTTTATAGAAATTCTTATTAAACACTGGAACCTCGCAGTGTTCCACCGACTATAGTGACATCACTGCTATTTAGGGGGGGGGGGATTACAGCAGGAGGAGACGCAGGCTGTCGGGTTTCACCTCCTTCCCTGCCGGCCTGCTGCTCGTTGACACGGCAACAAATAAGCATGTGCACGAGGTCGCACGCAGACACACACACACACACACACACACACACACACAACAACACCTCCGGCTGCCAGAGAGATTATCGGTCTTTTGTAAGTAAATCTTTTACTGTTCCAACAGCCAGCAGGTCCAGACTGTCTGTCTGCGCGTCCGTCCGAGTGGAGACGGGAGACCTTTCTGTGACCACACCAGTAAATGAATTAATAATTATACTTTAACCTCTGGTACAAATATCAAAAGGCGTGTTTTTCCTGCATGTAGGAGTCAGTGTGTGTTTCAGGTTGATTTCAAAGGGGCCTCACACTTTAAGTGTCTGTTTTTAAAGGTTATGTACTAAATAATTTGATAATAATAATTTTTAGAGCAATAGATGAACGGAAAACTTTTCAGGTGGTTCCGTTTGTTGACAGCAAACAAAGAAACGTCTAAAAAAAAACACACAAATCTGCTGTACAGATGCAACAAACCATCTGTCTGCACTTTTCAAAAAAACACCATAAATATCTTTCTGGAAAACACTTCAACAAGATTATTAACCTGCGACTGAATCGTAAAACCTTGTTTATACGAAACTATATCGGGAAAGCACGTCATTTGTTGCCAAGGCAGTTTGAGCTGCCTCAAAAATATTGATATAAAAGATTATTGCGTAATAAAGTGTATCAAAGTATTCCGGTCTGTCATCACTGCCGACTGAAGCTTTAGTGCGTTTTAGGCTCCATGTGTGTGTTTTTTCTCTCCCAAACACTCAACACACCGGTTTCATCCGTCGTTTAAACGGCAACCGAGCGATTAGCCAATCAGCGCCGGGGGGGGGGAGGGGGGCGGGACCGATGCCGTCCACACGCCTTCGCTTCCCGCCGCGTCTTTTTGTTGGCGTGACCTCCTCTACTTTCCTCTGACCTTCCACGTTCCACAGTGACCGTAACACAAAGCTCTTTACTGCAACCGCTTTTGGCTCCAAATGCAAATTGGGAAACGGATCAGAAACGCTCTCCGTCTCCTCTCCGCGTCCGAGTAAAATGCGTTGGGATGGATGGACGGTTATTGCTGTCCTTTTTGCGGCCGCTAATGGTTTCAGCAGCAACCCGGCGTTTGATTTCACAGATCCTCCAGACGGCTTTTAGCTTTGAGAGGAAAGCGCTTTTGTTCGTTGCTCGTGCCGGTCAGAGGAGATCCAGAGAGAAGAGGAACCGCGCTCAAATTAAAGCATTTAAAAAAAAAAAATCCATTTCAGGAGTCTGGAACAAGCTGTAAATCAAACAGTGACATGCGTATTTTCTTCACCCCCTCATGAAGATGTAACGGGGAACGCATTGAGAGTCACGTTAGCTCTCTTTGTGTTTTTCGTTACGAGGGTGTTTTGCATTTCTTTTGGGGGTTTTTTTTTTCTGGCCGACGATCCACCAGAAGCTTCATCGCGAGAGGTGACCGCTTTCGCGACGCAACGCAGTCATTGGATCCATCGTCACTGGATCCTCATTGCTCCCCCTGGTCTTTTACTCCAGTCAAACGACGCCTCTCCGGGGCGAGTTCACGGTCGGGGGGGGGGGCAGCGTCGTCGGAGGCGCTTAGCCTTTAATAGCTGGTTGCAGTAATTGCACTCAGCGTTGCCCTCTCGGGAGCAGGCTAAGAACACAGTGCTTGACGTTATGACACACACACACACATAGACGCACACACTCACAGAGGGGGCCACTTAAAATGAACCCAGTTGGATTAACATCAGATTACAGTGTAAAACTCACTAAGAGCTTCTGTCTCATTAGATATGAGAAGGAAAGACTGTGAGTCTCGACTCGACTCGACCCCCCCCACCCCTGCTCCTCGCTCCTAATATTACCCCCCCCCTCCTCCTCCTCCCATGTGATGATTTCTGTTATGATGGAGGTAACTGCTGACGTCCATCGCTCTCTTAGATGCACTCCGAGTCTCGTTATATCCCACTAGACATGTTCCTGTTCCTCCACATGAACTTCCTCCTGCAAGAGGACACACGAGTGGAAGTGGAAGTAAATGGATTTCGTGGAAGAACTGCGGCCTACTTCAAGCTGCTCTACGAACTTTGGAGGTCAAGGGTCAACAGCGCACCAACCTTTTTTATATGACAACCCGAAGGTGATCACTTAAATGGCATTGCTGTTACTCGATAAAACATTTACGGGCGACTGAAAAGGAGTGAGGACTTTTAAATGACGGCGTGGCTACCTTTTGAATTACAGGATATTTACAAAAATACCTCGTTTGCTGCGATATATATTTATGAGGACCCACATAAAAAGAAGGCCAGCAATAAAGGTCTTTACTAGGAGGAGCTCATTATCTGCCCCTGCATTCAAAGGCTGTGATTTAAAGCGTTTCTGAGGTGAACTGCACTCGTAGACTATTTAGGGATGGTGACGGAACTGGGCTAATTTGAATTTACGAGACGTGCTCGGATGCACGGTGAACCGTCTCCTTCTGGAGCTCCTCGTCCGCGAGGCGCAGCGATGAACAGTCATTCTTTTTATAACGGAATCGCGCACAAACTCTCCATGAACACCTTGGTTGAAGAATCCGTGGAAAAGGCCACAGACACCTCCGGGGCCTTTCAGTAATGAGCGTTACTAAGAGAACACGCGCACACACACACACACACGCACACACACTCAGCTCGTCGGTAGCTGTTGCAGATGGAAAATTAACCACTCAGGTTGACAGTTCCTCCGGCGCATACCGGGCTCGTTTAAGAAGGTGCGGGCTGATTTACAAGGGATTATGTGGCCAGCGTTGCGAGGCGCTGGCTGCAGCACCGGCCCGGGACGGAAAAGTGCATTACACACACGGAAGCGTCCCGCGGCGAGGACACGCTGCTGCTTTTTTTTTTTCCACCCGCAGCCCCGGGGTTGTTGTTTTTTTTCCGGGGGGGGGGGGGGGGTAGACAGACAGAAGAGGCAAACGGAGCCCAGTGCCTTTTGCCCCCTCGCCTGGAACGCCTGGAATGCTGCCGGTCGGATGGATTGAGGTGACTCTCTGTGTTCCTGTCTCTCCACCAGGCCTTCCCGCTCAGCTCTCTAGCCAAGAAGCAGCCCACGGTGCTGGTGATCTGCGGCCCGGATCAGAACGGCTCCATCGGCCTGGTGTGTGCCCGACACCTGCGCATGTATGTAAGTAAACTACAGCCGTCCGCCATGGGTGGAACCCGAGACAACGGGCCCCCTAAAAGGCCCCAGTACCTCTCCTACAAACAGTGGGAAAAAGTCATTTTGTGTGTCTTTGTGGGCTCGTTTTTGTCGTTGCTTTGCGCAGTTGGTGGTTGTTTTTCACCCTTTTTAGAATAGTTTCTTTTGCAGCTTTGTTCATCTGGTCTGTCGGTGGTCTTTTCGTGTCTCTTCCCTTGTTGGTACGTGTCTGTTTGTGCGGCGTGAGGTCCTGCGGAGGCCCCCCCCGAGCGCATTCGCCCCCACTCGGCCTGTACAGTAATCCATCAACGGCAACAACCGCTCCAGCCTCCATTATGTTCAACCGCACCACAAACAATCCATCGGAAAACAAAGTGTGGTGCTGACTGAGTCGCGTCGATGATGTCACCCCTAGGAAACTTCAACTCGCATCGGGACCCCCACACGGGCCCCTCCGCGCTTCCCCCCTCGGGCTCCTGTAAACGGCCTCGGAGCAGTTATCCCATTACGCTCCCCCCGCAAGGGCACTCAGACAGCCGTGATGTCATGCCGTCGTTACTCTCGTTAAAGCCGTCTGCTATGATGTCATGACCGAGCAGTCTGCCCCTCCGGCCGCACGCCGCACGCCGGCTGACATTCGGACGTTTCGAGACGGATGGTTTTTGAAAAAAAAAAAACACATTACAGACCCGACAAAAAAAAGGGAGGCTGTTTCTCACAGTTCATTTCAGTTCTCGGCGCTGTTGACTTTGTTGGACGGGAAATGTTGGATATGTGTTTTCTGGATCTTTGCTTTGGAGCGGACTGCATCTGTACACTTTACCACATGTCTCTGACACGCTTGATTTACTGTGCATTGATAGTTTTTATTAAAACCATGTTGGACGGCTCCCTGCGGGGCGTCTCTCTCTCTCTCTCTTCCCTCCGTCTTTTTCCTGCTCGAGGCCAAGGACACGAGGTTAGAGGTCAGCTCCCGGGGAGATTTATAGATTCTGCATTCCAGAAGTTGGGCTCATCCAGAGCGCTGAGAAAAAACCAAAACAATAAGACACGTCCTTTTGCGCGGATCTATTTGTGTCTGGTGTTTTCACCGTCTGCTCGTGTCTCACCCCGTGACTCTTGTCACCTGTCGGCAGACATTTGACTTCATCTTGAAATGAGCGTTTTTATCATTGTTACTTCCAGAATGACTGCGCTTTGCAGCAGGCCGGCCGGGATCGCACAAGTCTGACCGTCAGCAACTCTTGATGGTGCGATGTGATCGCTGTCAGCAGGAAGACGTGCATGTGGTCGTTGACACGCACACACGGCGATCAGATCAAGGAAAACGGGCCATACGTGTCCACAGAGTTATGTCTGCAGCTGTCATGCATCGTATGTATGAATACATATATTCCGTGATCAAAGCTAGTGTTGAAAGAGTTTAGGAAAAAAACAGTGGACGTGATGTCCTGTTTGTCTCGCTGTGTTCGTCGCTGCGTGATGTCACGACAATGATGATTAGCACGAATGACACGGAAGCCTTTGTTGCACAACCTTAAAGCAAAAACATGACAAAGGAAACCTGCTCATGTGGATTCATTCCTATACGAGTTGCATTTAACTGTCTCATATGTACAGTTATTATAAACCTTCACACAGTCCAGTCATTTAAGTTGAACAGTCATTTGAAAAGGGCTTAAAACAGCCACTAGGATTCAGTAAATGGTTCATTTTTTGTCACCATCCAACTGACATTCTATTTATTTCTGAAGTATTAGGCACCAGAGCGGAGTATAAAGTCGTATTGTCACCGCGTGTTTTGACACTCTGGTCACGTGTCAAAGTGTCGGCCGCTTCACCAGTTAAAGACTCGAGACGCCGTCAGAGAGAAGAAAAGAAAAAAAACAAACACACAGCCTTGTTTCTGTGTCGACGGTTCCTTTCGTTTGATACGGTCAGATGGTTGTTGATGAGGTCAAGGGCACGGCGAGGGGGGGGGGGGACACACGCACATTGTGTTAGAGGTGGAGATGTTGAGCTCACGATGGGGATGAGGTCAGGTGATGCTGACGTGACAGATCACTTCTTTTGTCTATAACTTTGTGTGTTTTTTCCACTGAAAAACACCAGATGATGAGCCTGGTTGCCGGGATGCAGCGTGACATTTGTCTTCCTCCTCTGGATAACAACGTTTGCTCTTAACAACCAGTTTTGTTTTAGGGTTTGTGTTTGACGCGGTGTAAAGGTCAGGGGTCGCAGGTGCTTCCTGCTGAGCATCCCCAGACCTCTTCGCCAGCGGGTGTCTGGATTTCTACTCCTCCACAGCTCCCGGTTCATAAGGGAAGTATTCATTCTGGAGACGGAGCGTAGAAAACCACAACGTCTGACCGGCTGTCATCGGCGTCTTCACGGGGAAAATGGATCAAACACATTGTTGGCGGGAATCGCAGGCTGTCGTCTCAACATAGCGTAACCTTTTTTTTCTCTATTTTTGTGTGTGTCCCCCCCCCAACGTCTTCTGTCCCGTGTTCCTCCACCGCCTGATCTCACACAGGAGTACGAGCCCACCATCTACCACCCTCAGCGCTCCTCTCAGAGTCTACACCAGGACTTCACCGTCCAGTGTGAGAAGATGGACATCCCCTCCCTCTCTTACCTCCCCACAGAGGTCAGCAGCGTTCTTGGAGAGCGGCGCGTTCTTTCAGCCACGTTGCTGATTGCAGACGTCGCATAAGAGCTCAATGAGGAGCGATTGTGAGCGGCCGGTGTATTGAAAAGAGGGTCAAAGTTCACAGAGTAGCGGCGTAGGGGTGGATGGGCGGGTCCGTGAAAACTTCTAATTCCAAAACACTATCTTTCAACACAGTTTCTGCACAGCAGGGACTTCGGAAGGAATGTAAGATGTCTGCTCATAGTGGAATATGTTCCGAGGGTGAATATGTATACAAGCCGGGTAGCTTAGCTTAGCACAAAGACTGCAAACACAGGCAAACCGTTAGCCCGGCTCTATCCACAGGTGACACAATCCGTCCAATGAATTCATTAATTGGTAATCGTTTTAAGTGAAACTGATTTCTAGATGACCAGATTTACTTTTTTACTCCTCCAATTGTTCACGCCGGGCTCCGATCTGTTCAGGTGCAGCTCATAAACGATGCCTACAACCTGGTGATTGATGCCATGATGGGCCCGGATGCCGACTGTGCCAACCTTAGAGAGCCCTACCCCGGCATTCTGGTCACCCTGAAGCAAATCAAGATCCCCATAGCCAGCGTGGATGTGCCCTCAGGTAGGTGGTCGCACAAACCGTGGACATCGCGCCCGCAGGCTCACAAACACAAACTTGATGAATGTCCTCCAGGCGGCTCCACGACGAGGACAGATCTTAAATAACAGCCGGCTCGGTGTGAGCTCTTCGCACACCGGATATATACCGCCGCATATACTCCTCACCATCCTCCTCGCCTTAAACTCCTCTCCTTCTTCTCCTTCTCTGCCTTCCTCAGGTTGGGACGTAGAAGAGCCGAGTCAGGACGGCATTAACCCAGAAGTTCTCATCTCACTCACAGCGCCGAAGAAGTGCGCCATAAGTTTCTCTGGAAAGCATTTCTTAGCCGGGCGGTTCCTCCCCTACGACATCCAGAAGAAATACGACCTGAACCTCCCAGACTACCCCGGCACAGACTGTCTCATAGAATTGTAACATATGGGAAACGTAAGACCAAGAGTGACCACTCCTCGATTTTTAAAACAGTACAGTTGATCCCTTCTATTGTTTTGTATTTTTTAGATTGTTATTGTGATTTAATGTTTAACAGCTCGGTCGTGTCCGGCTGCACGTTAGCCGAATGTGCCGTTGAGCTACAGTAGAAGGATAACATTTAGAGTCCAAGTTTTTTAGGGAACGGCATGAGTTTTTGCGTCAGTCTACTTGTAAAAGCTGTAGCATCACACTGGTTACTTTGCAAAAGACAGGAATTTCTTCAGAGAGATGAATTTTCTATTAACCACTGGGATGTTGTTTTTTTCTTTCTTCAAAACTTTTTTAATGTTCATGTTCGGATGCTTTTGCGTTTAACTTTCTACTGAAATGTGCTGCTGAGATTAAGTGTTGTGTATGAGGGGCCATTCTGTTTATTAACATATTATTAACATAGTGCATTCGGTTACTTAAGTCAACCTGCACTTCTGCATTGCTTTCGTTTAATTTATTCATTAGCTGTTACAAAAAGGCTCAGACAGTTCTCGTTGTCAATAAAAAACAACTCTTGGAGCATTCTGTTTGTTGTGTTCCTTCATGTCAATCCGCAGGGCTGTAACACCACCTAATGGGATGTGAAAAGGTGGAGTAGTGACAAACCTACAGAGGATCGCAGACCAACTCTGCAGTTTCCATGGAGCCTGTGAGGCTTTTTTTTCCATCGTTGTTTGGTTTTTCACCTTGTGTCCAGCAGATACGATGCTAATAAACCACTGAGACTGAAAAAAGTCACAGCATGGAAATTACAAAAAATAAGTCACAGCATTTAAATTTGAAAAGAAGTCTGTGTTAAATTTGGAAAACAAGTTCTAGCAAAGAATTTGGTATAAAGGTCCTGGCATTTGGTATAAAGGTCATAGCATTGAATTTTGAAAAAAAAATCATAGCTTTGAAATTTGCAAAAAATAGTCACCACATGAAAATTACAAAAAGAAATTCCTGGCATTGAAATACCACCAAAAGAGCACAGGATTAAAACTTCGAAAAAAAAACAGAAAAATAGATCATGTCCTTGAATTAAAGAAGAAAAAAGTAATAACGTTGCAATTTCAAAAAACGTTACAGCCTTGAATTTAAAAAAAAATTCATAACATAAAATTTTTGACAAAACATCGAAGCATTGGCATTTAAAAAAAAATGTCATATAATTTAAATTTCCTCCAAAAAATAGCATTAAAATGAATAAGACAAATAATTACGGATTTAAATTTGTAGAAAAAAGTCCCATTCAAACTTCAAACTCAGGAATAAATCATTACGTCGGAAACAAATTGTTATTTTTACACAAATTCTAAGCACAGGTTGCTTAAGCAGCAAAATATTACGAGCAGGGATGAGATCACGTTCTGCATGCAGTTGGAGTCGAGCTTCTTTTTGGTGAGCGCATGCTTCTGTTTACTGGTTCCCAACCGGGACTGATTTAGTAATGAAGGCCATAAACAGGTGTGATCAGGCCGTAATCGGCTGATGAGGAGCTCTGGGCTGCGAACCTCCACGAGAATGACCAAGAGGGACTGCAGGTTCATGGATGAGGTCATGTGTATCCAAACAGAGTTTAAGAGCTTCATCTGAATGCTGATGCACTAATGCACATGTGTGAGAATTTGTGGGTGAGGAAAAGTCAGAGAAAAGGAACGCCGATCCGGTGGCGCTCAAAGGCTTTTCCTTTCTATTTTTTTTCACCACAGACGTTAAGTGAGGAACTGACGTATTATACAATCCTATTTATCCGCGCCACTTATTGTAATATCCATTTGAGAGACAGCGAGTCTTACATGGAGAAGAAATGCACTCGTAAGATCTAGTTGAGTGAGGCCAGAGGTTTAATAATACAATCTTTCCTTTTTACGAGACACAAAAAAATTTCAGTTGTTTTTTTTAAAGACAAAGAAAATAATCGCACAAGTGCATGTTATTTTCCTATTTAATGTTTATTTTCTATCCAGATAAGATCTTCATGCTGTTATTCCTTAATTACCTGTTTCTAGACAGGAACACATACTTTCCAGGAAAACAGTCAAATATGTAATGACACACATTACATTCCCAATCTCTCTAAAAATGGTTTCAACACGAGTTTAAAAGTATACTAACGATTATCAAAACCTTTTACTCTAAGAAGGTATTTTCAGCAAAATGTACTAAAAGTGTTTATTCTCCTGTGGCTGATATATTTGTGGAGAAAGCTCATTGTATTGTAAAGGACTAGAAATAATGCTGAACTAGATTAACTCAGGATGGTACAGTTTCCTCAGTGTTAGAACATCCTGAACTTTATTCCATTGTTGTTCAATCCAACCTTTATCAAGGCAGACGGGGCTTCAGTCTATGACTCAAATAAGAGGTTCCTTTATTTTGAAAAAAAACAAAAAGAATCTGACAAATGTACCTATTTAACATTTGATCAAATTCTGAACCGAGAGGAATCTGGAAAAGGGCCGCGATACGCAATGTTTTTAATTGCCATGGATTCTCAGCAGACGCCAAATTGCAGCAATTGACATGAGTTCAAAGGAGCCCGAGTACTTTGCACCTCATAAGCAGCGCTCGGGTCTGCGTTCTGGGGAGTTTTTCCTGAGCAGCGTGCCATATGACGCCACTTCCACTCTTTGGCAGCGCATCGCCCCGCAATCAGCGGCTGTTAAAAAGTTACAAAACTGAACCAGAAGTCGAACCAGAAGCTGAGCAGCATCTGGCACCGGCCTGCGTCTGGTGGAGATAAAGCAAAGAGAGTGGCAGGGGGAAGGCGTATTATATACTTTGGAAAGACTTGAACTGGTATCGTGAAAGATTAAAGTATCATACGCTGCTTTTAAAAACAATTTCCTATATTTTTGAATGTTTAAAAAAAAAAGCCACACTGAAGTGCTGAAAGCCGCTCTGAGTTGGCACACACCTGCTGTGTGGATGAAGACCGGAGGACTAGATGAAAGAAATATGAAAACATCAGATCAGAACTACTGAGCTCCAGCTTTGACGTACAGGAAAACACCTTTCAGTTACCCCCCCCCCTCCGCCAACACACACACAGTCTCAATCCCTCCCTCTCTAGACTCTCCCTCCCTCCCTCTGTCCACCACACCAAACCCTCACCTATTTTTGGAAGATGATATGGGGGGACCCAGATGTTCACGTCTCACTGGCCAATGGTGAGCGCGGAGGGGCCGGATTGGTGTGCACTCCCGATGCCCCTTCTTTTAAAAAGCTCCTCGCCTGCGACTCGGCAACTCAGCTCGCAGGAGGAACGAGCAGCATCGCTCACACCTGACTCGACCCGAGTGGCGCCCCCCCGCCGCCCCCTCAGCACCGACGCCAACACGCAACCCTTTTCTTTCAATCTTCACTTATTTTCGTTTTCACTAAATATATACGTTGAGTCTTCGGAGGATCAGAGAAACGCGACCGGCCCTGTGGGACCGAAGGTGTGGGACCATGTTGGGATTAAATAAGGTGGCTCTCCTGCTGTCTGTCCTGGCTTCAGTGGCCCTGGGCCAAGGTAAGTGAAGGGTGGAAATTAACTCATATCATTGCCATTTTTTTAAGAAGTGATGCTAGAAAAACAGGAAAAGGACTGTAAATGTAGACATTTTGGCAAAAACCCCCCACCAATTTGAACATGAATGTGGTTCAGAGTTGTGTCTTTGTGGTACGAACAGAGGGCCAGTGCGTGACTGCGCACACATGCGGACCACCTACACAACTGTTGGGTTGTCTGGTGGTGAGACCGCGTGATAAGGCTGTGCGTTGGGCATCGTGTGTTTGTGGGGGTGTTATTTTGTAGACCACCTCGGGTTGAATGAGCAGCACATTTTGGCACCGGGCTGATTGAAGGTTGAGAGGAGGAAGCTGGTGTAGTTTTAGAGCACAGAAAGCCCCGTCGACGAGGTTCAAAGGGCTGCAGGTGAATAGAGGAACACTGGAAGAAGAAGTCGGTGTCTGAGCGCACACAGTAGCAGTCAGAGGTCCATTGATTTGAATCAGAAAAAGTCCAAACGTCTGACCGGTGCTGTAGCGCTCCACTGACTTTTATCATCTCACAAAGAGCCGATTAAAACGGACTTTCTCTCTCAATTTAATTCACAGACTTTACTGCGGTTTTTAACTGTCAGCTGCCACGATACTCCAGTTCCTCCAGATAATCACAAACCCTTTAAAAGTCAACCCGCTCCTCCTGAGTGACAGTGGCAGGTTTTTTTTTCCAGAGCTGCTCCCCCATTAACAGAGTTTTTTCTCAAAAGAAGAGGAGCTCACGACATCTCGTCGGGCTGAGAGGCCTCAGAGTCGTAATTGTCTCGCAAAAGCTCCGCGCCATTTGCAGATGAGTAAATCACACACCGCTTTGGGAAGGAACGAAGACGGGACAGGCGAGGAGAGAAAACCGGCCTTGAAAGTCCTACGCTCTGTGCCGCGCTCCTTAAGCCGTGCGTCCACATCTCGACGTACGTTGGTGCGTTGCGTCCTCGCCTCAACCCCCCTCAGGAAAATGACTCTCCCCACCTTTCTGCTCCATCACCCCCCCCATCCCCTTGTTCTCCGTCGCTCCCCTCCACGCACCTAAGAGCTCACAGAACTGTTTTCCAGTTTGGACGCCCACCAGTAACCAGAGAGCTTCCAATCCCCGTTGCACACCTGCCGGGGGAGAGCTAGGTGGCGTACGCGAGCAGCCGGGGTAGAGTCGAAGGGCAGTGGCTGGTTCTCCAGATGCTGACCGCCGTCTGCTCCAAACAGCGAGCTGTCTCGCCGGCTGAGTTTAATGGCCGAGACAGGGAGATTACAATGGATCAAAGGGAAAATTCCCCTTAATAACAACCTCCAAGCCAATTCACATTGCTCTTTTTTCTTTTCTTCTGTTTATTTGGACATTTAAGTATGAGTGAGCCAAGATATTATTTATTACAAGTCTAATGAGCTGTTTTCATTTGAGCTATTTGGAGCTACTGGCTCCGTACCTGTGCACAGGTGCAGAGGTTCACTGAAGGACATTCAGTCATTTTTGATGTAGAAATAATAATAAGTTGGGTTCTTAATAGCATCGGGTTTTGTAATACATTTATGATTGCTGAAATCGTGATGGATTTGCATCATTAGTTAATGTCAGGGGCAAAATTGCGGATTTAAATGAGCCACAGATGTTCGAGGATTCAGACTTTTGGGAACACTGGAGTAAAGAGAGAGAGAGCTGCAGAGAGGAAAAGCAGACTCCTCCGCAATCACACACACCTCTGGCGATGAATTGAGCCCAACACACAACAGCTTCCATACGGCACGGCAAACACACACACACATACACCCACGTCACAGAATTCAAGGGTGAAATACCGCTGACTGAAGCGCCAAATACTGTACAACACAAATTTACATCACGTCGAGAGGACCGGTGTGTTTTCAAATCTTCTCCCTTCTTGTGAGGATCTGGGAGATCTATTCAAGCGCTGTCTCTCTGCCAACATACACTCGGCCAAACCGTGCCGTACTTTAATCGGACTGAAACCCTTCTGGGTGAAACTCCATGAAGTCCTCTGTTTTTCCTCCATCTTCCTCTTCCTCTCCTCACCAGCTTATTTTATGACATTCTGGCAGTCAGAAAACGTCAGAAAAGTGCAGCCCGGTCGCCAGGAAAGTAGGATGTTGGCGTTGCCCGTCTCAGTCAGCTAAGTGAGTATAGATGAAAGTGGTGTGATGACGAACATATCAAGTAATAAAGTCAAATAAGAGTCCAAAGGGAATCAAACAGCAAAAGTAAATGTTAAGCATTAGTTAAATTAGAAAAGGGCAGTCGGTAGTTATTTGCGTTACGGTTGTTATTTTCTCACGTTACTTTATTACGTTATTTTGTTTCATTAATTTGTTATGTTACTTTGTTTTTTTACTCTGTCACGTTACTTCGTCTCGTTACTTCGTCTCGTTACTTCGTCACGTTACTTCGTCTCGTTACTTCGTCTCGTTACTTCGTCTCGTTACTTCGTTTCGTTACTTCGTTTCGTTACTTCGTTTCGTTACTTCGTCTCGTTACTTCGTCTCGTTACTTCGTCACGCTACTTCGTCACGTTACTTCGTCACGTTACTTCGTCACGTTACTTCGTCACGTTACTTCGTTGCTTTGTCACGTTACTTTTCACGTTACTTTTTCACGTTACTTATTTGACATTTTCCGTTACTTTGTCGTGTAGTTACTTCATGCTGTGACAATTAATTCAACACAAACTCTGATCTTTTTTCTAGCTTTGACAAGTCATTTGTTGAGCCTTTTCTGCATACATGATAAGAGGCTGTACTCATGGAACTTTCTTCGGCTCGTCATGTATCCGTACCATGCAGAAAAGGTATAATGACAGCATTTCTGTTGTTTGTAAAGTGACGCAAAGAGAGAGAGAGTGTTCTTTAAAAAAGCCTTGATGATATTCCGGCTCACCTTTGGGTGTGCAGCCTGCCTGGCTGGATGTATAAGTACACAATGCGGTATTTCTGATCGAGCAACTGCGACGTAAATCGCGAAATCCAAAGATAGTCCTCTGAAATAATTGCAGTCGTCACAACAGAGAGGGCAGGGATGACAATGAATGTCAAAGAGGCCACTGAAGGACCCAGAGTAATCCAGTGGCTCTATGGTCTGGTACTTGCCTTGTGGCTATATGTGGATCCGAGAGGCTAACCAGTCCGCCGATGCAGGTCTCCTCTCATACCTCAGGGCCGGTGCATTGTATCTTGTTACCGTGTCCACGGTTTATGGGTGTCACAGTGATGCTGGCTGAGGTTTATAATAAGGCTTCATGTCAAAGGTACAATTGATACATCTCCATGTGCATTCCACTACATTTGCTGTGAAAAGTCAACATTGTAAAGGACTTTATGTGAACAAAGCTCGAAAACCAAACCCAAGAAGGTGATACTGTCCTCAATAAACGGCCTCAGCCGATTCACCAAGTGCACCAAAACCACACATGCAACACATTGCATTCAAAGCCCTTCAGTGGCCAAAGAGGGTGTCGGGATGGAGGATCGATAGGTCAACTAACCATCGGACTCAAACAGGGTTGTTCCCTAACCACAACCACCTGCTTATTCACAGTGATGTCATCCCTGTGAAACCTTGGCAGGCCTTTGCCTAATAATGATTTGGATGGTTTGGTTTACTTTGTACTGTTTTTTGGATTATTAGTGAAAGTCTACAGCGTGCCCTGTGCTTTGGCATCAAGACCCCAAACTCCCCGAGCGTTTTATGTATTGCACTCTGTGAGACCAGGCTGGTTTATTACGGCTTATGACGATGAAGGTTCCCCAACCTGACTCATTTTCCAACGAGTCCTCCAAATTAAAAAATGTTTGTTCTCTTTGTTCTATGATGGAACATGAAAGCTTCTTTGGTTTGGGGGAATATCATGGTTTAAGTTTGAATAAGTATATATAGTTTGTTGCGGTCAGGCGAGCGTTGCCACCATAGTTACGGTAATAAACACGTGGAATACGGAATGTTTGTAGTCACTTTTTTAAAGAAAACTCCAACGTGGCCTCATGGTTAGAAACGGGCAAAAAAGCCTGCATTTCATTCCAGTTTGTTGTTGATCTGTTGTCCTAAACCACATTGCCTTCGTACACCGACGTCCTCCTTCACGAGGGATTTAGTAACTGGACTGTTGGTCTGTTGTTTTGGTGCTGAAACGATGGAGGTCAATCTCATTTGAACCCAAACCACGATGTTTCCTTTAACGTAACCAAGTTGTGTTCACTGCAAAACCCAACACAACCTTTAGTGAAGCACGTTTACAACTTAAAACTGATTCATTTTCACCCGTAATTTGTAACGGCCGGCAGAGACACTGTCACTCCATATATTCTGTGGAGGACTTGTTCACATTGTCTGTGAGAGGCCATATAAATAGAGCTGTGTCACAAAAAAACAAACCCACACAGAGCCCATGAACGAGGACAAAAGACGTGAAGTGTACCACTTTGAGGTGGATTATTGAGGAAATCATAAATTCTAACCTCGCTCCCTCTGGCTTGAAAAACGTGCTTCTTGATGAGGTGAATTTCCTCTCATACGTATGAAGCAGCGGCCCAATAAAATTCCCCCAGCTTTTAAAATTCATAAAGTGCTAACATACCGCTCAGAAGCACAATAACGTCGGCGATTCCTCCACTGGAACCGGGCCAGTTCACACCGGCCACGACCGAGCTCGGCTCACTACCCCCAACATGCCTTTTCACTTTCTAGAATCACATGAAACTCTTAAGAATCATTCACTATTTAGTTTCCCTTGTCAAAACCTCTTGAAATGATAATAATGTAAAGTGTTGTTTAAAATAAACTTTCTTGGGAAAAAAAAGCTAATTAGCCTTTGGAATGTCTGTGTTAATTAAGTGAAACAAAGGGGTCATTTTTGTTCCCTCACCTCATAATTACCCAAAGAAATGTCCTCAGAGAGGAAAAACTGTCAAAATGTAATCAAATAATTCAGGAGACAAAAAGACAGGGTTGGAAAAACTATTTGATTTACTAAACTAAACCTGCATGCGGAGCCACATCTGCCCAGCAGGTCGGCGTGAGAACATGTGCTCCTGTTTACCCAACTATTCCAGCGGATGAGCGAATCGAAGCCAACGTGGACACCTATCAATGGTTTTTAAAGCCAGGAGCATAAAAAGCAACAAGCTGCAGCTATGAGGCTCAGCTGACCGTTGATGTTACCACTAAAACCAGTAATACATTTTTGGACAGAGGATCTTTGTTCTGTTGAGCTGTATCCATCTTTGCTAAATCCATCAAAAGGGTTGAGAAGAAATGTGCTGGCAGGACAATAAAGACCGAAAGTGAGCTGTAAAAACCAGCGTGGACGGATATCGATACTGGGAGTCGCTGCCCGTAAACACACATTCACACAGCGCACGCTACTTTTTGTTCCCGTCATCATCCGTCAATGACTTTCTTTTCCAAACAGCCCCAAATCAAACGAAGCTAAATTAAATGTGAAGCAAACAACTGGAATTTTTCAGAACAGCAACAACTGGAAAACTGCAGGAAAATCAATCATATAACTTCAAAGCAGGAGGAAAAACACTTCATGCTGCATGTTTAATAACTCAACAATTTACATTGAGGTGCCAGGTTGAATATCTTTCTCGTTTGCCTTATTTCAAACCCGTTGTGCGCATGGAAGTGAAGATGGTGTAAGAATGACGCAGCCACGCAGGCATGCAGCGTGCACGGTACGTGTATACATTGTAATCATTGACCATCGAGATCCAGAAAGAGATTCACAACAAACTGCCGCAGAACGTACGCCGAGTGCTCGTGTGCCTATGTGCGAGGTGACGGGGCGAGTTAAAGGGAAGCTGTCTGATTGGCCGCTGGTGAACAGATGACTGCACGCCCTAATTTGTCACAGCTGGAGCTTGATTAGCATCCATCGACTGCAGCTGTTTGTTGATGGATTAAGAGAAGAAGGGGAAACAGAAGGATGGAAAGATGTATGATGAAGAGGACGGGGGAGATGATTGATAGCGAGGAATGGGAGGTGTCGCCGAAGCACGAGGAAAAAATCTAGACAAAGAGAAGCAGATGGACAGAGGAGAAGTTAGAATGATGCAATCTTGCATTGAAATACAGAAAGAAATGAGAAAGGAAGCAAAAGTTAGTTTTAGTTTTAATTGTTTCAGCGCATACAGGTCTGACCGAAATAAACAACTGTGGAAAAATGGGTAAATAAAGAGTAAAGGGAAGCTGTTTTGATAACATTTTGCGCTACGTCTTGCTCTACTTAAAGTCCATCGTTGTGAAGGATTTGACATCAACTTATCCATCGTCTTGACTAATTGTCAAAGTGGACTTTGCATCCTGATTCTTGGTGCTCAAAAACAGTCAAAAGGGTTGGACAAAGTTGAGTCATTTTTAGATTTTTTAAGTGAAGATGTCGGCCATATTATCTGTTCCCAGAGTTATTTTTCTTGCTGCTGTTTATATTCCCTATGATGCATATATATTTTAAATATGCACCACAGGAATGTACTATTGGTTTTGTTGTATTTGTTATGTGTCTGTTACAGATGGGCTAAAAACTGACTGTCGTTATGCATCCTTATAAATAAAAATAAATGAAATTATTTGTTGAAAATGGAAACCGAAACACAGATAATGTCAAGGAAAAAAAGAGATGTCTGCACCAGTGGAGGGTTAGACAGCAAGTCAAATGAGAATGAAAATACTCATAGACGTGGATAAGATGGTTGCTAAATATATTGCGACTTACAGAAAAAAACAGAACTACTTCATGCGGCAGAAGTTGTTTTTTAAATCAGATTTGAGGCAAACTTGGGGGTAAATGTTACACAAAGCGCTAACTCGTTGCTCTCAGCCTCAAATGATGAAATGGTTATGTATATGTTGGTGTCGCTACTAGAAAACAATAAACCACATTGTTTGCTGTCACAAGTGTTAGCTTACTTTCACGTTAGCTAGCTAGCTCTCGTCTAGCTGTTAGCTACACGGGCAGAATCCAGGATAATTAATCCCGGATATGGACAGGCGTGCATGCGTCATTCCATAAATCCGTACATATGTTTTAGGTTGCCGGTGAAACCCTGGACGTCACCGTGAGCCTTTGCCCGTTGGACTCCCGATTGGACGTCAAGGCGTCCTTCTTGGCCAAGATTCATAGTTCCACCTCCAGCATTTACTCGGCGGAAACCGTTCTCATTTTGCACGGCTGGGCTTTGACTCAAGGCAGAAACAAGACTCGTGCTTGTTCCTGTTCAATGTAGGAAGGTGTTAACTGCTTGGATACAGTTCAGGTTATTTGTAACACCTGTAAAGCAATTGTTCAATAGCTCGACCAGGTACGTAAGCCTGTTCATATAAAGAGGACACGTGGGGCTTTGGAGTAATTGATGAGCAGTTATGAAAACCTAAACAGACAAAAATGATGGCGATGTTGACATCCGACCCTCTCGTGCCCCGTCCACTCCTCTCCCAGTACCCCCCCTCTGTTATGTAACCTGCATCCTATTACGATAACATTGATGTTCAGTGTGAAAGTTATTGTTCTTGCTCCAATAGTTTAAAAAAATGTGTGAAGTTAAATGAACCTAGTAAACTTTCCCATATTAATCAAAATATTGAATAAAGCGGTAACAATTAGCCGACGTGGCTTGAAATGATCAATGGTATGATTGTTGTTGAAATGATCTTAACTTGACAAGATAAAGAAAGTTATTTTTCCTTTTTGATTGATAATGTAAAATGTTTTTTTTCCCAACGCTGTTTGTCAAATGTAAATCACAGATGATAATTAAACAACTTGTACAAGACGTACTCCGAGTTGTCCGATTGGTCCGAATAACTTGTCTGTGTGCGTGTTGCTCTAAATCCAGATGTTTTTCTCCCCTGCTTGCAGGACTTGTGAGGACCAGGAGCCCGTCAGACAGGACCAGGAGAGTGGCCCTCAACACGTTCACCGACGCGCAGGCAGCAGGTACTGGATCCATCGGTAGCGACTGAGGGAGAGATGGAGGAGACGGGTGCACGTCCGGATTTAAAACAGGAATTTGGCTATCGTAGTGTGTCCCGCTTATGAATGGGATCAGCTGTTTTGTGATGACTTACATTTTTTTAATGTATTTCTATGTAAGAGGGTTAGGGTTAGGGTTGTATTGGTCCGTCCAGATTGTTGTCCAGTCACCAGAGAACTTCAGAATCATACATCACTTTGGAAACACAAATATATAAGCTTGATGCAGATGCATTCTTTGGTCCCGAATCCCCGTTGTTCCTTCCTGAGGAAGTGCTCGGGTTTCAGAGCATGCAGCAGACTAAAAATCGGACAATATTCCCCATCAGTTGAGGCATAGGGTTTGGAAAAGCACCTGGACCATGCAAAGCTCCCCCGGGTGCATGACCTCAGTTTCAAATTGCGGCAGCAGACCTCCTCTTAAAGTTTGTAACCCATCCCTTCTGTTTTCCTCCCTATTGCTTTCTCTTGGTTCTGACCCACGTCTCCTCTACATGTGAACCCGTCCCCTGCATCCACCCCCCCCCTCCCTCACCCGCTTGTTTGTTTCTCCCTTCTTTTGATTTTCATCCACGTGTCCCCCCCAGGCGTGACAGAGTGGACGTCCTGGTTCAACATCGACCATCCTGGAGGCAACGGAGACTACGAGCGCCTGGAGGCGATCCGTTTCTACTACAGGGAGCGGGTCTGCGCCCGGCCCACGGCCATGGAGGCCCGCACCACCGACTGGGTGGCAGCGGCGGACACCGGGGAGGTGGTGCACTCCAGTCTGGAGAAAGGCTTCTGGTGCATCAACAGGGAGCAGGGCCGGGGCCGCGTCTGCTCCAACTACCACGTGCGCTTCCAGTGTCCCCCGGGTAGCAGCGAGACACACGCATGAATGCACATCTCCACCTGCGTACTTCGCAAAAAAAAAAAAAGGCGACCTCGCTCACGATGTGTCCCGTCTTCAATGTGCGTGTGTAGTGCAGAGCTACTGGGCCGATTGGAGCGAGTGGGGTGCCTGTTCAACGACGGTCTGCGACGACGTGGGCATCAAGGTGCGCCAGAGGAAGTGCGTGAACACCCAGCCCATGCCTCTCCTGCTGGTGCCGGCGTGCCTCGGGCACCACTCGGAAAGGAGGGAGTGCTCCAACCCGCCGTGCACCGGTGAGAACTAACCTTTCAATTATACGACGCAGTGGAACTGCCCGTGAAATAACGATCGGCGAGGTTTGGGAGGTCAAGGAAATGCCATTTTGCTTTGTGCAGCTCTGTAAAAGCCATTTATTGTACAGAAAACATTTTCATTATTATTGTGTACAAAACTTTCGGTATCCATTTTGACAGTTAAAATGGGTACGTGGCATTTTCTGCAGTATGGTTTGGTTCAGCAGCGTCTCGAGCAAAACTTTCTTGATTGAGCTTCTTGTATTCAGCAATATTTCAGTTACATAATCGTCTTTTTATACGATCCCATATAATTTAGTAACGAATAATCCCCCCCTACGCACAAGAGCGTTAAACAGCTCTCGTTAGACCGCTTTGTAGTTTGAAAGGATTGAAAAGAATAATCAAGAAGGGGCCTATGAATGTGTCACGTGTTGCATTCCCTGTTTCTCCTTGTGTGTGACCAGCCAAGTGGGGTCCGTGGGGTCGGTGGGGCGCGTGTTCGGCGACCTGTGGTGTCGGACGCAGGGTCAGGAGAAGGACCTGTGTGAGGACCTCGGGGACGGTCCGCTGCACCGGGCGGCCCGTGGAAATACAGAAGTGCGGGAAGAGCCCGTGCCCAGGTACTGTACGCCGCGCGTGGGCCGACAAAGGTCTGACGTTTTCCTTTTTATACATGTTTGTGCTCATTTCTCCACTGCCAACCCTCTCGACAGCCAAATGTCAGCTTGTGTGCGTGGAGGGCCGCCCCAGCGAGGACTGCAGCCGGTGCACGTGTGACGACCACGTGCTGCACGGGGAGGTGCGCGCGGTGACCGGCGTCCCCGTGGCGGAAGCCTGGGTGGCACTGGACAGCCAGCCCAAGGTGATCCGTGCCCTTACTGATGCCAAAGGCCAGTTCAGGCTCGAGGGAATCTGCTCCTCCAGCTCCACCTTGATCTCCATCCGGAAGGAGAAGTTCACCCCGGTCACGGTCTCCACCTCCAGTAACGGCACGGCGTGGTCCTGGGTGCGGGCCGTCCTCAGATCAGCCGGTGGGTGCGAACGAAAACGAAAAATGAATATTTATTTTTGTTGACGTCCTTTGCGTTCAATCAAGCCAAATACAAAACATCTTCAGCGTTCATTTAATGTACATTGTTGGATATTTCCTTGAAGAGCTATTTTCCTTTTTCAACAAAGAGTTTCTTGATTTCCTTTGCCATCGTTCTGCAGAGCCGGTGAATTCCGCAAACAGGAAATTGTCAAAGCTGCAACATAAACAGTCTGGCTTATTGTAAGACTTCTCGTTGTCTGGAGCACTTACTTGTTTGGTTGCATGGAAACCAAATAAAAATAACCCAATGCTGCTTTTGAAAAAGTAACCCACGAGGACCCTCACAATCATTTTTCATAAGCGCAGGAACCACGCTGAGATTAAAGTGCAAAGTCTGACTGGGTTTAATGAGGTCACATTCACACTGTCAGGAGGAAGGTCCTGAGGGTTTTGCTCTTTTCCACAGAGAAGCCGTACATTGTGAAGCACCCCGAGGACAAAGTGCGCCCCGAGGGAGGAAGGGTGATGTTCTGCTGCAAGGCAACGGGATCACCAGCACCTGACAAATACTACTGGTGAGAAGAACCATCAATCCCAGGAATAGTTATTAACAGAGCACAGTGAATACTGTTTACATGTCGTGGAATGTATATTTCTACTTTTGATTAAAGTTGCATGTTCATAATGGAGTTTATGCAGCTGCTAAATTCTCCCTTACCAGTGGAGCCTTTATCCAGCCTGCTATGCATGTGGCATATAGAAGGCTGACATCATCTGCCGGCTGCAGCTGAAAAACAACGTTGATGAGAGCAGGGAGAATCGAAACAGGGAAGCTGCCAGAACGATGAGCAGAACGAAGCTAAATCAGCGGTTTTACAGACTCTTGTTTCCCTCTGAGAGATGTTTGACAAAAAGATAGCTGCTCATCGCACGCAAGTTGTACGCTGCCAAAGGACATTATTTCGGTTTACTCTTAAGGTTAATCGCTAACATTTCAGCTATCATCGCGAACGATTAAATTCCATTATATATTCTTTAAACCTTAAGCGACGTATTAGTGACCCCTGTGCTTAATACAGTTGAAAGGTCGGGTGAAATCCATAAGTTCATCACTTACAAACACCAACATTTTACAGGCATTCCTTTTAACAAGTTTGAATGTGATCTAATTAGTTTTAAAAAGCTTTCTCTAACTATTTTTGTTCAGGTACCACAATGGAACTCTGCTGGACAGGAAGCAGTACAAGTACGAAGAGGACCTCGTACTGTGGAGCCTGAAGCCGGAGCAGTCGGGGCAGTACTACTGCAAGGCCAGCAGCTCTGCAGGCAGCATCAAATCCTCTCCGGCCCTCCTCGCTGTAATCGGTAAAGTCCTGGATCCCCTACTGGCACTGGAATGTGTCTCTCTCTCTCCTTCACCGTAGTCAGGATGGTTCCACTTGAGCATGAACCCCTTCACATAGGACGGCACTTACCACTTCAGTCTGTTGGATTAGCGCATATAGGTGCAGGTACCCAAAAGGGTTTGCAGAGAAAAAAGAGTGCAATATCCTGTCTATTTAGTCTCAGTTGTTCTCACGGTTGAAACGACACAAAAGCTCCCTTATAGTCGGTTGCAAAGTGGTGTAATGTAATCGGTAATTTATCATCATCCGCCTGCAAAGGATCTGATTTAGTGTGACGATAGTGGCACACGGGGATTATAGCTCAGGGTGGCTGCTATCCCAGTGCTTTTGACAATAATGCATTAAGTCAAAGTTTTACACAAGATTCAAGTATAACCGCTGACAAAAAGCAAATAACCGCAATTTATTTTACTGGATGAAAAGCAGATGCCTTTGCACTTAAGCGGAATGTCAGCGCAAAGTAATCTGTGAGCCATGTCCGTGCATAAAGAGAATTAAATCTAAACCACAGTGTTGCCCGACTTGAGGGAGAGAGGAAAGACAGTCGATAGTGGGAGGTGAGGGGGGGGGGGGGCAGTTTATTACAGACAAAAAAAAAAGAAAATGAGAAAATCATGGCTGCACTTGGAGAAAGTTTTTATTATGTTGACATTGGTTGAGGCCACGACTTCCAAAGCTGGGGTGCTTTATTGTGCGAGATGGCTCTCTACACAAAAACAAGTTCTAGGAGAAATCAGCCTGTCAATAAATCTTCTTTTCCCTCTCAATAACTCAATAAATCCTGTTTCTTTTCCCTCTCTGAGTCTGTAGTGACGCAGAGTATGCATTTCTACGTCTGCGTGCATGGGCGAGCTACACAACACGTATATCCTTCAGGTGCTTCTTAACCAGGTTAACAAAAGGGATTTCACAGCGCAGTGCTAAAGAAATCTTTAAAAAGAAAACGACAAATCCCTGCATTGCATAATCTCAGGAGACCCTCACAGCAGCCACTGCTCTGGTGCTTCTTATTTTGGCATTATGAATACGTATAAGTTGATTTCCCATTAAATGTTTTAACTACATGTCATACAGACGATTCTAAGCCATTTTGGTGATCAGCAGTACAATAATGTTATTGGGTGAACACACATCTTTCTAACAGGCATCTGAATCGTTGGTGAATAAAGTTACTTACATTTTGGATCTAATTCCCTTTCATGCAACTTTCAGCATTCAGCTTAGCCACTCACAGGTACTCGCATGCATATGAATTAATTGTGTGGGTGTGTGCTTCTATGCGTGAAACAGTCCTACTATATGTCCTATTCCACTCATGCAGTTATAAACAATGTCCCGTACCCTGTGATCTTATTATTAAATTTAGACCACTTTGACAGGCTTTTAAGTACAACTTCAACACTTAAGTCTTCAACATTTTTGCTCTGAGAAAAAGCCTGACATGTTGCATGTACGACAGCCAGGTCAGTGATATAATATTTTCATATGTGTTGTGTTTAAACCAGCCTGATGAGATTTATCGTCTTATTCACAGCAAAAGGAAAGCCAGCGTGCAATTCCACCCCCGAGACGCACCTAATCAGACTGCCGATCGACTGCGTTCAACCCGGGACTGACTCCATGCACTACAACGCCGGCCGCTGCCCTCACAACAAGTGCGCCGGCTCCTTGGACTTCGATATGCGCTGCAGGGACGACGCCGGGTTCTGCTGCGGGGTCCACGACTCGGAAAGTCGAATCATCGACTGCGGCAGCTACAGCCTCCCTATCCGGGCCGTGACCCAGTGCAGCTGTAAAAAGTGTCCACAGCCCACTGTGCTGGTCCGCGGCAGAGTGGTCACAGCTGACAACGACGAGCCTCTGCGATTTGGCCACATCTACATCGGCAAAGAGAGGGCGGGCACCACTGGCTACCAAGGAGGGTTCACTTTGCAAATTCCTCCCGATACACAGAGATTAGTGGTCAATTTTGTTGACCCCACTGAGAGGTTTCTCGACACTCCGAAAGTGTTCATCCTCGATAAGAAAGGTGGGTCCATCTACCACAATGTGAAGGTGATGAGAAGGCAGACTCCAATTGACATAAATGCAGGAGATTCCAACTATATCAGCCTTGGGGAAATAGAAGGCGAAGACCCCATCGGTCAGTTGGTTATTCCTCCCAACTCGTTCCACAAGGATAACGGGGAAATCTACGAGGGAACCGTGAAGGCCAGCGTCACGTTCATTGACCCGAGAAATATCACCACGGCAGCGGCGGCGCCAGGTGATCTCAACTTTGTGGACGGCGAGGGTGACATGCTCCCTCTCAGGACCTATGGCATGTTCTCCGTGGACTTCAGGGATGAGACCAACAAGGAAGTGCTTGGAGCTGGAGGTGTCCAAGTTCTGCTCGATACGCAGCACATCAAAATGCCAGAGCACATTCCCAAAATGAAACTGTGGTCTCTAAACCCAGACACGGGAGTCTGGGAGGAGGAGAGTGACTTCGCCTACACCACCACAACCCCTGGGGGTCACGGGCGGAGCAAACGAGAGGAACGCACTTTCCTCATAGGCAACATGGAGATCAGAGAACGTAGGCTCTTCAACCTAGACGTGCCTGAAAACAGACGCTGCTACGTCAAAGTACGAGCCTACATGAGCGACAAGTTCCTAGCTAGTGAACAGCTGGAGGGCGTTGTGGTCAGCTTGATAAATCTAGAACCTAAACCCGGATTTTCCTCTAATCCTAGGGCATGGGGCCGCTTTGACAGCGTCTTAACTGGATCCAACGGGGCCTGTTTACCAGCTTTCTGCGATGCTCAGAGACCCGACGCCTACACGGCTTATGTCACTGCGATGATGGGTGGGGAAGAACTTGAGGCAGCTCCCTCTACCCCCAAGATGAACCCAAACATCATCGGTGTGTCACAGCCTTATCTGGATAAGATAGACTACCAGCGCTCCGACCACGAGGATCCGGCTCTGAAGAAAACAGCCTTCAAGATCAACTTGGCAAAGCCGAACCAAAATAATATTGACGAGACAAATGGGCCGATATATCCGTACGCAAACTTGATAGGTTGTGAGAATGCCCCCATTGATGCAAATCATTTCAGATTCTTCCGAGTGGAAAAGGACAAGTATGAATACAATGTTGTTCCCTTCGAGGAGAACGATTTGACGACCTGGACGGGCGACTACCTCTCCTGGTGGCCTAACCCCCAGGAGTTCAGAGCATGCTTCATTAAGGTCAAGATCCACGGAGAGAAGGAAGTGATGGTCAGGTCGAGGAATCTTGGAGGAACACACCGAGAAACAAAAGGCCAACTTTATGGCATAAGAGACATTCGCAGCACCCGGGACATGCGAGAAGCCAACACCTCAGCGGCCTGTTTGGAGTTCAAGTGCAGCGGCATGTTGTTCGATCAAGCTGAGGTGGACCGTTCCATCATAGCAGTGCTTCCACAGGGGAACTGTCGCAGGATCGGCACCAACAACCTCCTCCAGGAGTACCTCATTAAACATCCACCGGTCGCTCAGAACAACGAGTCCCAAGGATTCACCATGTTGGCACCCGTGGATCCCTTAGGCCACAACTACGGCATCTACACCGTCACAGACCAGAACCCCAGGGTGGCCAAGGAGATCGCCATCGGCCGCTGCTTTGACGGCACCTCGGACGGTTTCTCCAGGGAGATGAAGACGGACTCTGGTGTGGGGCTGACCTTCAGCTGTCCGGAGAGGAAAGTTAACAGGGAAAGCCTTTTCCAACGCCTGCAGACGAACCCGGCTCAGACGCTGTCGCAGATGGCGAGGAGCATGAGGGAATCGGAGGGTTCGCAGGCGCAGGGGTCACCCACCCGGATGGTTGCCTACCCCTCAGAGCAGCAGGGCCGGACCCAGAGTCGAAGAGTCGCCTCTACGACCAGACGGAGAGCGCCCGTGCGCACACCGCAACGGAAATAGATGTTCCAAGGTATGTTTGAATAAGATATTGTTAAGAGCCTTTACATTGATGATAATATCGTAAAGATTTAAATTGTCCTTTACCTTTTTGATTTCTAGTTCTTCCGTCAAGACCGATAACGATGCCGATGAATCAAGGGAGTAAAAGTTGCCCGTCTGTCGAGGAGTCTGAACTCCCCCATCGAAAACCACGAAACGGAGGCAGACGGCAATTCAGCAGAATCAACAAGTGGTTGAAAGTATTCATTAGACTCACTTGAAGGGTTCGGTATATTCATTTCTTCCTTCCCTCCAAAAAGACATGCGTCATTTGACTGCGTGTAATGCGGTCACTAGCGTTTACTTAATTAGCTTTGGTCTAATTGTATGTCTGAATGGACTAAATTGACATTTGAGGATGCGACTTTGAAAGTTACGACTTGGTGGCATTTCAATTCCCCACACCCCCAGCCAATGTTTCGACGTCTCTTAACCTAGAGTTGAAACCAAACATTTAGGGACTAAAAATTCATCGCCGAGCCCCAAACACTTCATAATTAACCATCGTTTTCCACTGAACCTTTCTCCAAGACCAGAAAGAAAATAAGTCCTTTTTTCTACAAACCGGGCAAAAAAGACACATGCAGCGGAACGAGGCATCCCACCCGGCGAACAGAGGATGTTTTCAGTCATGCTTCTTGATGTTTCCCATTAGCCTACCACTGTGCCAACGGCGAGTCAGCCAAACGTCCTTTCACACCTACTTAGAGTGTGTAAAGCCGAGGCCTTCGCCAAGGAAAGCATGGATCTCGAGGGCTGGCAGGAAGTCCAAAGTGAGGATGGTCGATTGAAACGTATGACGTAGTTCCCTTCTGTCCTCCTCGCACATTCCAAATTAGCATTACCAGAGAAACCTTTCTTAAAATTAAACAATCCCAAATGTGTTTGTTTTTGTTGTTGGTTGATGTGCTTGTGAGCTGCCTTTTTGTATCTTGAAGTGCAATAATGATAGAATTTAACTTAAGACTTCTTAGAGATGTAACCGACTAACACGTAAAATCGAAAGTGCTGCTGGGAAGTGAAGCGACAACGCCTCCAGTGTGAGGCCAGGTAGCGTGGTTAACAAATAGTTTAACTATGTAATCATTCTTGAACTCTCTGAACTGCCGAGAGTCTATTAACCTTTTTGTACTTTGCTGCATGACTCATTTGATTTGTTTGTATGTGACGTGTACATCACAGTAATCATTTGTTTTACTTAAGAGAGCCATTTTGTTACCAAAACCCACTGTATGGATCTTCCACATTAGAGCGATGATTAAAAAGAGACACAACTGTGAATTAATGGCCACGTTTTGGGAAATTCTGCTATCATATTAGGTCAATTTAGAATGTTGATACTAGAGATAGTGAGACAGATTATTAGACATAGATAACAAATCTAAGGCTATTTTAATTGCGGTAGGTGATGGTAAGAAACTTCCCTCTGTGATAAAACTGCCAAACTTGTTTATCTGCAAAATATAAAATCGCAGACCCACGGGAAGAGTTCTCCAAGCTGAACTAATCCCAAATCAAGTACTGTAAGGGGCACTGTGGGCCATGGAGAAAAGCCTGCGGTTAATTAGAAAAATAAATTCCATATCCTCCTGAGAACAATTAAAACAGACCCTGACTTTCATAAACTAGTTGATTGCCAGGATGCACAGGATGTGGTCAACATGCTATTTCAACAACACCCAGGGAACTCCTTTTAAGCCTGATTGCATTTATTATTCCCCACAGGCCACAGATTTATTATTTAAATGTGCTCAAATGTTGTCATTGTAAAACTTTATGTATAAATTAAAAAAAACAAATATAGAGATGCAACGTCCTACGTCATTTGCTGTCCCGCATGAGATTACATTCTGATTACTCAAATAAGTATGCCAGTTCACGATAAACATTTTTTTTTGTCCATGAAATGGACGTTTGCGAGAGTGGATCGGTACAAAACACACGGGCATTGTGCACCACTTTTGGGGATGTAGCCATCTAGCCATTACAAACAGGATCCTAGAATGATTGTCTCTCGTCGTGGTTACCGTACGTACCGCTGCCTAAACAAAGATCCCATTGCGCTTTCACCAAAAAACTACCGTAACCCAACAGTTGTACTCGGATCCACATTGAAAAATTCCATTCCATGATGAAAACCCCCCCCTAAAACTAAGTACTCCAGGGTGACGACATGTGATGGCATCGCCGTTATCTCGGCTCTATACCGACTCAACAGTTCAGATCCCCCTGCAGCAGATGTATAGCGTCCAACCTGCATAGAAGAAAAAAGGAAAGGATGATTGAACCCAGGTGTTGGAAGAGATAAGTCCCATAGAAACGCTGCCGTCGTGACCTGTTGTGAGGTCAGCCGAGGAGGCCTGACGTCTGTAGAGCAACTAAAGGAAACGTTAAGAGCAAAGACATCAAGAGAAATACGAGCGAGATTATCAAGAGATGGATTTCCATCACTTTCGGGGGACTGTTTGGTAAAGTACGGAAAGGGAAGGGGAAAATATTTGTGGTCTTTGGCCTCACGGTCCATCACTTACCGAAATCTCAGCCTTCAAAAGTGGTTGCACATGGAAGAATGCAGGGCCTTGCAGAGGACGCTTTGACGGGAGAATTAGCTTTTTCACAGGGTGAAGTTATCGGGGGAGTTTGAAGGACAAGGCAACAATAATAGGCCGAGTAAGCCATGGGTCGTGCGAGGCGCTGCAGGGGAAAGTAAGCGGGGCTCTCCAGGCAGTCACTGCGTCTTCTGGAGAAGTTTAAATAACCTCTGCAAAGTCTTAAGGATCAAAGAAAGTGAGTTTGAGCCTGAATCCACCGGATGAAACACGTGGAAAGACAATGTTTGTCTTGTTGGGCTGGAGGTAGAAGCAGGAGTCGTTCATCTTACACAGGAATCAGTCAGTGTCGATATTGTGAAAACGGCCACATGGAGCTTCATGTGATTTAGTTTTACAACCATTTCAAAGGAATCGTTTTGGGAAATAAGCCTGAGCGCTTTCTTGCGGAAAGGTAGACGAGAGAATCTGTAGTTTCGGACAGTTTCTGTCCGTTAACGACGAGGTCGCCGCCAGCAGCCGCTTAGCTTGGCGGCATCGTCGCGGTAACGACGTCTGGGAAGTCGCTGTGAGAGAACAGTTTATGGTCTGACAAAACATGGTGAATGGATGCAGAAGGGGACAAGATTTCCGCAGTTGACATATTCTGTCCAATCACAAGGCTTGAATTTATGAGGATAAATGCTGGTTAACATTCTGTCTGAGGAGAGCAAAGGACGTGGAACTTTTGAAAAGCTTAAGCAGATGGTGTCTCTCTGTCACAGAGCCCCAGTGGGTGCATGCGATACTAAAATAAATTTGTCTTAAATTAAAAAGAAGAAATAGTCAATCCACCAAAGGGACCAAAAACGTTTCCGGAACAAACAAATCAGATGAATCCTTTTTCTCTTCTAAACAACCCTGAGAGTTCCTAATTTATTCAGTAGTTCATCTTTGAACCGTTGCCACCACTTTCTGGAGTCTGCAGGGAGAGTTTGAACCTTTACCATAATTGTTCTCCTGATAATACTCTGTGAACACTCAACTATCGCATGGTGCTCCCCTTCTTGTTTCTCTGTGTAAAAATTGTGCATTGTATTAAATCTACTATTATTATATGAAAAATAAATTGTAAATAAAATACATTTTGTGTAAACTCCTGATTCATATTCTCTGTGGTGTGTTTTATATATTAAGGACACATACAAACTATGATATTTAAATTCATTGCAGCTTTGCTAAGATATAATAATTTAATTTGAATCAAACAATACAGATACACTTTGCATGAGTCATAACAACATATGTATAGTTTACAGCAAATAAAGCGGCTGTTAACAGAACAAGTGATTGAAATTAACATAAAGTGCAGATCAATAATTCATATAAACGATAAGTTAAATGCTTTTAAGTGTTAAGGAAACATGGCGGCGCGCTATCACGTTTGCCGATCGTTTCTCAGAGTGAAGAATGTCAGAACCGCATCCCGATCAACGTTTACTTTTACTTTCCTCCCGACGCGAAATAGCTGCATCCCCGTTGTGTGCGGCCATCACACCGCGGGGGGCTGAGCTTGACAAAAAATACATCTGGGCAATTTTTCGCCAGTGGAATGGTTAGTGTAATCAAGTTGCACAGCAGGGAGGAAAATGTGAGAGCTGAGCCACACCGTCACTCACACGTTCGTGACCGGGCGCCGGGCCTCTGCCAGAAAATATAGTGAGCGAGTGCCCTCCCATAGCGAAAAACACACACACACACACACACACACACAGCTAGAAAAAGTTATTTTTCTCCAGTCAATGGTGCCTTTCAGGTCGTGAACCTCCCTCCGGCGCCTTCGTGGCCGTTTCTTTTAAGTCCCATTGCGTCAATAATGGAGGAACCCGTCAGAAGGGGAAACGCTGATGGAGACGTCTCGACTCCTCTAAACGCTGCAACGCTTATGTGGGTTTGTATTTTCTATTTTTTTAAACCTCTTCAGAAGAGGACATTCTGTTAGGAAAGTTTTCTGCTCACTGGAATGTGTCTAAATGTATTCAAAGAGCCACGATTCAGCGAGTGGGCGTGAGAGTTTGAGGCCTCGGGGGCGGCCTGTTGAAGACATTGAAGAGGGGCTAGTGGCGGTAACGGCCGTGAGGCCGATAAGTCGAGTTAGACATCACGCTGAAAGAATCTGTCATTAATATTTCTGCTGTTACGCGATCGAGCCAATGGATATCTGACAGGTCAGCTTGGATTTCAACGTCTACATGTTACTGGCAAAATATTGAAAGTCAATTCAACTGCAGTTACAAATCAGTGTCTTTGCATAAATTGTAATGATTCCTAAAGTTTACATATTACATTACAGGTCATTTGTATGTCATGTTGTATTCAAAGCCACTGTAAGAGGAGCTAATTTAATACTAATACCTCTACATGACTCATACAAGTAGGAGAACCGGAACCACGATTCAGACGCTACTGTGGTGAAAACTCAGAAACAATCCCTCCCTCGTCCACAGGGGGCGCCAGAATCAGCACAAAATAAAAGTTCCCTGCAGTAGCTTTAAATGAAAGATTTGGAAGGATTTTCTCTCCGCCCAAAACAGATGTTTTGCAACACAACACAACTAGACAGGAAAATAAATAAAATCAGTAATAATATTATTTCTAGGAATAATTTAAAATCTAAAATGATCAAGTGGCAATAATAAAATACAGTATGCTGGTGAGTTCTATTACATTTTCTGAGAAGAGGAATATTTCTTGTTTTCGTGCTGCATTTTCTTTCGCCTGCCCGGTTGCTCTCTGTGTCGAAGAAGCAGCAAGAAAAACTCAATTTATTCTTTTTTCTTCAGACCAATCCTCTTCGCCGTCATCCTGAGCTCCGCGGAAAGCGGCAGGTGAGGCTGAGGAATGTTCGGGATTGTCTCGGTTTCCGCCGAAGTTCTTCAACTCTCCTTCTGCTCCGCGGGGAGCGGCTCCAGGGAGAGCCGGCCGGCGTGTTTCACGAACACGTTGCCGTCCTCCAGCTTGACTTCGTACACTTGTTGCTGTAGAAGAAATAAATAAAAAAGGGACATACGAGCATAGAATTTAAAATTGTTAAAAATAAAATGGAATAATCCTTCTTCTGTGAAAATCTTTTATCTTTATGCTTCTTCTGCAGCTTGTGTATAGGAGAAGGAACAGGCTATGAATGTGATGAAGGGAAAAGAGAAGGGCATCCGCATACAAACAACAGAACGGGCGGGTTGGAGGACGCGGTTCCCTGACCTGTAAGGACGTCCCTGACTTCCCCGTCCTCAGGTCAAAGTCGTAGTCGTGCCAGGGACAGAAGACCTGCAGGACTCCGTCAGCCTCCTCGATGTCCCCCTCACAGAGAGGACCACCTGACGGGAGATTGTTAAACACTGTCAAGTTACTTTTGCTGTCGTCTTTCTGCACACAATGTGATTGCGTTGTGAGGTTTGCATAACAAGCGGCGCTGAAGGTTGCTATGACGCTCCCCAGTGCACACGGCCTCTTTTATTTCTTAAACTAGCCATGGTGTGGAACCTTCTTACATACAGGTCTATACGTAGAACCCAATTGACTCTGTTTGTGAAACCCCTGACTGTATGTGTGGAACTATTAACATGTGGAACCTTTGACTCTATGTGTGGAACCATCGACTGTATTCGTGGAACCATTGACTCTATGTGTGGAACCATCAACTGTATTTGTGGAACCATTGACTGTATGTGTGGAACTATTAACATGTGGAACCATTGACTGTATTTGTAGAACCATTGACTATGTGTGGAACCATCGACTGTGTTTGTAGAACCATTGACTCTATGTGTGGAACCATCGACTGTATTCGTGGAACCATTGACTTTGTGTGGAACCATTGACTGTATTCTTGGAACCATTGACTATGCGTGGAACCATTGACTGTGTTTGTAGAACCATTGACTATGTGTGGAACCATTGACTGTATTCGTGGAACCATTGACTATGTGTGGAACCATTGACTGTATTCTTGGAACCATTGACTATGTGTGGAACCATTGACTGTATTCGTGGAACCATTGACTGTGTTTGTAGAACCATTGACTCTCTGTGTGGATCCATCGACTGTATTCGTGGAACCATCGACTATGTGTGGAACCATTGACTGTATGTGTGGAGCTATTAACATGTGGAACCATTGACTCTATGTGTGGAACCATTGACTGTATGTGTGGAGCTATTAACATGTGGAACCATTGACTCTATGTGTGGAACCATTGACTGTATGTGTGGAGCCATCGACTGTATCCGTGGAACCATTGACTGCGTGTGTGGAACTGATAAACCTATGAGAGTTCAGCAGGCCTCCACTTCTCACAGACCTTCCGGTAAATGAACTTCGTATTCTGTGAGCGGAAGTGACGTAGCGATGTGTCGTCACTCCATCCCCCGTGTTACCGTCAATTCACTTGATATCGTAATTCTATTTTATTCAGTGTCTGCCTCTCTTCCGGGGGCCGGGTGCGTTTTACCGGAATGTGCGCAGCGAGCGTCCATGGCGAAGAACTCGCCCCTCACGTGGAAGAGGCAGACGTCCGCGTCGCGGCCGAGCGAGCAGTACACGAGGCGGCAGCGCGTCGCGGAGAGCCGCGCCGCCGGGCCTACGAGTCTCCACGAGCCGCCCCGCGCCTTCGCCTCGTCGTCCCCGGAGCCGGACGCCATGAGCCAAGAACGGCGAGATTTCCGCCCGGGATGCTCAAAACGAAACAACAACAACAACAAAAAAAAACGCACTCGGGCGGTTTTTATCTCGGTGGAGAATATATTTCCATTTCATCCAGGCGGGCCGAGCGTGTGCGGCGGTCGAGCGGTGCGGGACTGAGCCGCCTCCATCCGGGCTGCAGCCGGAGAGGCGTGACGCGGTGTCACCGGGAAGGCAGCGAGTGTTCATCTAACGGGCAGCGCGGATAATTCAAACCAACCCCGCTGGTTTATTATCTCTCAGTTCAATCTAATCACTTTATTCGTATCAGTTTAATACGCTGCTTCTCTTAGAATAAACTGTGCTTCTCTTAGAATAAACTGTGCTTCTCTTAGAATAAACTGTGCGTCTCTTAGAATAAACTCGGCGTCTCTTAGAAAAACAAGAAGCTGAGGCAGCAGTTAGATCACCGGCCTTATGATGTGTGCTTTAAGAGAACGCTCAGGTAAAAAACAGTTTTTTTAATACAATCAGCCATTTAGAGAAGTTGTGCTATTCTGCAAGTGGAAAGAAAACATCTCCCCCAAAAAACATTTTCTTACTTTTGACACGTGGAAAGAAAACATCCAAAAGACGCATCTAGGTATTTATGTTGATACTTCTATTATATTCAGCAAAGTAACTCATCAGATATTTAAAACTTACTTTTTTCAGGAAAATTTGTGTCTACACAAAAAAGTTCTTGTCTAAATCCGGTATCAAAAATCCCCTTTCGTGAAACTATACTCTTAATACAAAATGCAAGAATTTTGAACCAGACTTGTGACCATCATGTCATTCTCGCTACATGTTTGCACACCTTGACACACAACACCTCTTCTTTGACTAAAGTCATTTTATATTTGTGTCAATGTGTCTTTTCATTTACAAACAACTCCACTCCGCAGACATACACCGATCCTCCAGATTATCAGTGAGTTTATTGTGAGCACTTTAATACACAGGGGGTTTGACCTCCTCCCAAAGACTGCAGTGAATGAGCACTATTACTTTTTATGTACCGTGCAAGTAGTTCAAAACCATTTGTTAATCATTGTTGTCACAGGACAGCCTCCATATGCGGCTGCAGACGGGTATTTGGCTGATTTTCTCCACGTTTCCACCGTGCAGGTTCTTAACGTTATTACGAGTTGTTCGTGAGCCAGTGCTTTTAGTTGTTGAGCTCGGATGTCAGTCGCTGCAAAAAACCCCCCATCCAGTTCAAACTGTGCAACCTTATCATATTAAAAGTTGATCAAGATAAAACGTAAGTAAAAAAAAAAAAAAAGATCTCCATCTACTCTCGTGCAGTTTAACCTCAACCTTTTGTTCAATATTTGGTCCACTGGTCTGACAAAGCACAGGATTGACTCATAATTAAGCAGCAGTGTATGAAACTGACCCTTCCAGTTGCATTGGAGTGTAGATTTCTTACCGCATGCAAATTCATCCAACTGGCAAATTGCTGGAAGCCCAAATACATGAATGATCTGTGTTTCTTCAACTTTTACTGGCTTTGTCTCCATCGCTTTACGGCGCCAGCAATAACGCCGCTAGCGGTTCAGCTGAGAAGTAATGCGAGTTGCTGTCTAGACCCGAGTGATGCATAACAGAGGCCGCTTGTTCCGATTCCTCGCTCCGACGAGCCGACTTGTGTAAGGCACCTTTTTTTCGGGGAGGAGCGACGGGAAAACGTGTCGCGAGAAAGGAAGAGAGAGAAAGTGCACCTGCTTCTTGTCCGAAGTCGGTTCCTCAGCGAGAGGAAATGTGAAGTTAAGTCACCAAAGAATAAAGAGAGCCAGTAGAAACCAGAAACCAGAGCTGAGTGATCAAAAGTCTCAAATATGTTCTTTAAAGGCCTCACGAGACTCAAGTTATTATCATTTAACTCATTCTGCCCACGGCTCCACTGCTACATGCCAACAGTTTGGATCAGAATATGAATATCACGCATGTCATATAATCCTTGTTTGGCTGCTTTAACTATTAATAACATAATATTTCAGGCTTATGGTTAAACGACACTAAAAACAAGTTTAAAAAACTAGTAATTTATGACCTATTTGAGAAATGTCATGAAAAGTAAACATAATCAGAACATAAGAGAAGTTTCATATGGGAAAGTCGTTTTTCTGAGGCAGGGTGTAACATCTCAAAGCTGTCTGAACTTACCAAATAATGATTAAATCAGCTCTATATGAACCAAAATAATAAGTTAACTAAAACGAGTGTTTAACAGATCATCATCACAGCGTTTCTCAGTGAAAACACAGAATAACAAACCCAATATCCCAAAATCACAAACCGCGGTCGGCCCCATCAGGGCTGGGCGCGGTGGCCAGAAATCCACTTCACGGCATTTAGAATCTCCGTATGTGACGCTTTTGCTCCGTTAAAGACTGTTTGTCGTGGCTTATTCATCGTTATAAAGTTCTAACCACGACTTCATCTCATCACACGTGAGAGAGCCACGGTATGAACGGGACGTGAGACATTCATACCGCACGGAAATCTCGTACCGGTATACCGCTTCAACCCGGGATACCGCACGGCCGATAGAACGGTTTCATTGGAAAATCACCAAAGGAATTTATTTTCAACAATTACTAATCAGGGGGCGGAGTCCTGGGGTTATGAAAGGGGTTTCTGAGTCAGTAAAAACAGCCAGTAAAAACTGCTGTACAGTGAACAGTCGTTGCCAACGGCTGCGCTTTGGCGCGCTGAGAGGTGAGAAAACGGCGAAGCACACGCTGTGAAACACATTAAAGTGATTTTAGCTTATTCGGGGAGCGAGGGAGTAATTACAGACACCAAAACGATGCACGGTGGAACATTTGAATCGGCCGGCTGGATGGGATTCGTCAACAAAAAACGCTGCAGGCAGCGAGAGACGACGCCAGAACGAGGACGGCGTTGGATCTCTTTAAAAACCCGCTTCCACTGCTGGGCGGCGCAGCTGTTTGCGTCAGGCGACGACCATTGGGCGCGGAGAAGCGCCCGGCTCAGGCGAGACGTAGAGCCGCGACTCGTGCGCTGGCCGACGAACCGACCTCGGCTATTTCCTGCACAACCAAGCTGAAAAAACGCCGCCACCTGCTCGCTCGCCTCCTCGTTCCAACAGATCTGGTCTTCCAAAGTGAAGCTCTGGCGAGGAGCTCAAATGAAGAGAAACGCCGTTTTGTTTGTTTTTGCTCAGTCGCTGACGTCCTTTGCCGCCACGCCGTTATGTCGCTTTGGGTGGACAGGAGGCCGAACGCACATGTGTATCCTGGGTCCGGTCCCGGTGTCCCCCCCCCCCCTCCCCCGCACACATCAGCACCCCCCAAAAAGGCCGCACTGTGAGAACGATGAGGTCAGCAATGCTGCTGACAGGGCATTCGCCTCAAGGAAATACCCAGAATTCATTGCGTTCTAATGTTGGAAAACAGGCATAATAATATATATGCACTTATTAGATCTGGAAAATGAACTCTGACCTTGCTGCACACTACATCAAATTCAGAGACTTCCAAGTTTACACAAAGTGACTTCAAAATCAGGACATTTCTGAATAAAATATAGATGAGCCATTGCTGTAAATTTTGGATTAATTTTCAAAGGATCAGGTCAATATTTAGATAACAATTTATTTTCAGAACAATAGCCGACGACGCCCCACTGCAGCTAATATCAAAAACTTGATTTTCTTATTCGTATTTGTCAGTTTGTACAGAAATACTGGCCTGGCCAGTCTGTAATGTTAGTGTAAGGAAACAGAAAACATAGAATGGAGTACGGTGTGACATTGCATCACAACAGCAGCGGGCCTAATTGACCTTTCATGTGACGGCTAGGACAAAATAACAGAAACGCCCTCAGTGTAATAATCCCAATGACGAATGTTTTTAGGCGACAAAAATCGACACAATGTTGCCTTGTTGGCATCTTTACAAAGCGCAGGCCTTTGCAGTTGTACTGCTGCCATAAGCTATTCTTCATATATATGTGTGGGTCTCTGTCTAGAACGCCTCCACACTTAAGAGAATGTGGGGCAATGTCTTTTTTTTTAGCAGCAGCCAGTTCTGCATTGATCCTTTTAACCAAAGCTTGAAAAGTCGTTGGCCACTAATAAAGCTCCAGTGAAGGTGTGTGAATCCGCTGACTGTGGAGGCCACGGAGGGCTCCTCTTCCTTATGAGTGTTCATGGGGCCCATCTTTGATTTGTCTGGCAGCGTTTATGGTCTCGTCAGGATCTTGGAGGACCGGACGGTGGCTCTGGGAACGATGTTTGCACCCCCTCGGGCCCGTAAAAGGGTCCCATTCTCTGGCTGTGATGCGCCCATGCGGAGCAATTATCAGGTCCAATAACATGGGACGGCCGCTCGCACCATCACAGAGACCGTCGGCATCCTTTCTCCAAACGCGGCGCTGCCTCAGGGAAAGGAAAAAGGGCAAACAGCGAGTTGTCCCCTCGGACCAGAGCTCGCTGCTTAATCTTAACTTATTATGGGACACCGTGTAGCCTGAATCGTGACCCTGCATCTTCAAGGTCGGCCGTTCGCTTCGCACTGTGGCTCTTTTTTTCTTTTAATACCTCTTATCGTTGCAGATTATTGGCGAAATGACGGAGATCGACTCTGAAGCGGTGATTAATGTTCCCTCCTGCTTTCCTCGGGATTGGCCTTTTGCGTGATGGATGGCGCTGAAATGTAACACAGACGCCCGCTGCTCTCAACGCCGTGCACATTTTCACAGTGTACTTTCTCAGCGCGTCGACATGCATCTGTCCCCAAACTCACTTTGACGTCCTCAATGTTCTTTAACAATGCCTCTCCGCGAGCACAAAGGTTAGTGGTGACATTTTGCTGTTCTCCTGGAAATGGAATCCGACGGGATGAACGTGGGGTTACACGGCAGCAACGTTTCTGAGAATGTGAACGGGGAAACAGAGCTGATTTTCCAAATGGCCTCTCTCATTAAAGTGCACTTCATTTGACCTGCAAGCATCTCGAACCTTAGAATGTTCTTCTCCAACCATTCTTTCGAGGGCACGAGATCGAGCTGCTGAGTCGCTCTCTTTAAAGACCCCCCCCCCCCCCTCACCCCTCTCTCTCTCTGAACCCCCATTGCATGCATGTCTGCAGGAGAGATCAGACTGCGATGCATTCCTTCCTGCATGTCCTCAGTCCTGATTATATCCAGACACAATAC